GCATGGAGTTTGCTAAAAAATACCTGAAGGACTCCAAGATGGTGAGAAATAAGATTCTCTGGTCTGATGAGACCAAGATAGAACTTTTTGGCCTTAATTCTAAGTGGTATGTGTGGAGAAAACCAGGCACTGCTCATCACCTGTCCAATACGGTCCCAACAGTGAAGCATGGTGGTGGCAGCATCATGCTATTGGGGTGTTTTTCAGCTGCAGGGACAGGACGGCTGGTTGCAATCGAGGGAAGGATGAATGTGGCCAAGTACAGGGATATCCTGGACGAAAACCTTCTCCAGAGTGCTCAGGACCTCAGACTGGGCTGAAGGTTCACCTTCCAACAAGACAATGGCCCTAAGCACACAGCTAAAATAACGGAGTGGCTTCACAACAACTCCGTGACTGTTCTTGAATGGCCCAGCCAGAGCCCTGATTTAAACCCAATTGAGCATCTCTGGAGAGACCTGAAAATGGCTGTCCACCAACGTTGACCATCCAACCTGACAGAACTGGAGAGGATCTGCAAGGAGGAATGGCAGAGGATCCCCAAATGCAGGTGTGAAAAACTTGTTGCATCATTCCCAAAAAGACTCATGGCTGTATTAGCTCAAAAGGGTGCTTCTACTAAATACTGAGCAAAGGGTCTGAATACTTATGACCATGTGATATTTCAGTTTTTCTTTTTTAATAAATCTGCAAAAATGTCAAAAATGCTGTGTTTTTCTGTCAATATGGGGTGCTGTGTGTACATTAATGAAGAAAAAAATGAACTTAAATGATTTTAGCATATGGCTGCAATATAACAGAGTGAAAAATTTAAGGTGGTCTGAATACTTTCCGTACCCACTGTAGACACACACATGGGCTCAGTGATGCAGTGATTAGCGCTGTCACCTCACAGCAAGAAAGTTCTGGGTTTGAGTCCCTGCTGACCCGGGACCTTTCTATGTGTTCTCTCTGTGCCTGTGCGGGTTCTCTCCAGGTACTCCAGCTTCCTCCCACAGTCCAAAGACACGCAGATTAGGCCAACTGGCGACTCTAAATCCTCTGTAGAAGTGTGTGTGGGTGTGTGTGGGTTGTTTGTCTACAAGTCAGCCCTGTGACAGACTGGCCACCTGTCCAGGGTGGACCCCGCCTCTCACCCAGTGTCAGCTGGGATTGGCTCCAGCCCAACCAACCCCCACCACCACCCCCTGGGATAGATAACAGATGGACGTGTGTGTGTGTGTGTGTGTGTGTGTGTGTGTGAGTGTACATATATGGACTTGCGGCCAAACACATTTATCAAATCCACCTCCAGGCTCATATGTATGAGCCCGTAGGATTTTTGCCACCCTCTGACTGGCCAACTATTTGGGAGATGTTATTTCCAGGTCTGCATTTGAGAAGTGGGTTGTCTATTAATTCCAGTACATGTACTGCTGACCCGATGTGGTAGGTTTTATTTTGTTAATCACAATGTATTAAATCAACACTGTCTCTGTAATTAGCACCAAACTGCATAGTCCTTTCCAGAAACCTTGCCAAGAATTCACTGTTACACATCAAGTCCTTTGTTATGTGCAGCTCAACTGAACCATAGCTATGCAGTGTTCTGTAGCATATTCTAGCTTGAATAATTTAACATATCCAGTTAAAACTGGAAGTCTTACAGTAAGTCCTCGAATGGAAATACAATGGGATAAATGCTGGACATTAAAACCTTAAATTTTGTTAATATCATATTTATTAAGATTAAAATTTACTGACAGGTGTTGATTAAAGTCTGTGGTTAGTTTAGAGACTAGTTTGTGCTGTTGCAAAGCATTCTCTCAGTCATCTTAATACCTCCGTAAAACCATAGATGTATGAGGTTTTTGAGGACAAGCCACAATGTGGCTACCATTCAGTTTTAAACAAAATATGTGTATTTAATTTAACACTAATCAAACTAGACACGTCAGTAAAAACTGCCTCCGCCTTGGCATGTGGTTACAATTGAAATTCAGCTGTACCACGTCAATCAAGCAGCTGTGTGAGAAACCTGTCACCTTCATACGTACAGGATGTAGCAACATCCTGCTTCAAGTTTACTTCGGAGCTCTCGAGTATTTGCCCGGGACGTCTGAGATAAAAGTCTCTGAAAGATCACAGCTATTATGACAAAGCAGCCAAACACAGCTGCTGGAGCAGAGAGCTGGGCATCTTCCTGGAGCCCAGCAGACAAACACTCCCAGGGTGACACACTGCCTTTGGGCAAGGTGTGGCTGCACAGCACACATCTCCAATTCAAATCCTTCACAGGCTAATAGGTGGAGACAACAATTATTCATAAAACACTTGGTAAACAAGGATGTTTACTTAATTTAACACTGATCGGACTAGACATGACAGTAAATGCAAATTACTATGACTTACCTCACCAACACCACTATGACCAAAGCAGTGAAAGTGCAGAAATAAGTGTGTAGTTGTGACAGACTCAACAATTCATTTACCTCATTACATTGGATATGAGTCAGACATTTTTAAGCCAACTGATTGTTTTTACATTCAGATCTCAGATGGATTTGTACTGTTTTAATTTAATGTATTCTATTTATTTTGGTGACCTTGGGTTTTTGAAAGGTGCCCTGCAAATAAAATAAAACCCCAAATCAGAAAATGTTGGGACATTATGTAAAATTAAAATTAAAACTGAAAATAGTTTTATAAAAATAAAACTACTGAAAACAGTGATGTGTAAATCACGTGTCCTGTATTACACTGAAAACAATCCAGCAGCACATTATTTGATGTGACACCTCATCAGTTTTATTCTTTGTTCAAAATAAACAGGTAACAGTCTGGATGGTCCTTTTGGTCTTTGGTCCGGAGCACACGGCGTCCATTCCTTCCAAAAAAAGACCTGAAACACTTTGGTCTGACCACAGTGCATCACAGTGCATGTTTCCATCCCAGATGCCTCTGAGCCCAGAGCAGTCGACTTCTGGACACTGTTGACACAGAGCTTCCTTTTGGCACAGCAGTTTTAAGCAGCATTTATGGATGTAACTACATATTGTAGTGGCTGACACAGGTGAGCCAAAGTCATCCTGAGCCCATGTGGTTGTATCGCTGATAGAATAGTGACGATTCTTGATGCAGTGCCGTCTGAGGGATCAGAGAGCTCGGTCATCCAGTTTAGGCTTGGTCCTCGTCCTTTACACGCTGAAATTCCTCCAGATTCCTTGAATCTTTTAATGATGTTTTGCACAATAGAGGGTGACAGATCCAAATCCCTTCCTATATTTCTTTGAGGAACATTGTTTTTAAACATTTCAATCATTTTCTCACACATATTTTGGCAAACTGGTGGTCCTCGGTTCATCTTTGCTCCTAAAGGGCTCGGCCTTTCCTGGATGCCACTTTTGTACCAAATCATGATGCAGTCACCTGTTGACATCACCTGGTTCAAATGGAATCATCATTTCATTGTTTTACCTCATTACTGGCCCTGAAATGCAGCATCACGCCATGGTAAACACTTTACTGTCTCAACTTTTTTTGGAATGTGTTGCAGCATCAGAATTGAAGTGTGTTTATTTTGAACAAAGAATAAAACTAATGAGGTGTCACATCAAATAATGTGCTGCTGGATTGTTTTCAGTGTAATACAGATGGAGATAATTTACACATCACTATTTGTAGGTTTAATTTTGATTTTACATACCGTCCCAACTTTTTCTGATTTGGGGTTGTAAAATATGGTTATTGTACCAAAAGGGGAACTGTTGGCTTAACTTGGCCCATTTAATAGAGACGTTCTACATGCAGAGAAGATATGTTGAGTTAGATTAACACATTAAAGCACATGGATGTGAAGCAGGAAGTACACTGATGAGTCACAAGCAGTTACATTTTGCAAGTATGAACATTTTTGCAATACATTCATTCTGTAGTTTGAGTCCTTTTAAAACGTTTTTAAATCGGTTTTATCTTTCTTCACCTCTTCTGTCTATACATTACCTCATCTCAGGCATGTTTAACTACTGCTAAGTAAAAGAGCTGATCTTCACCTTAAAACTGGTACTAGGCCAGTTAATTATTAAGCTATCCAGGTAACCTTTTTGCATCATGAATTTTATAAATTCCTGATATTTTGTAAAAAAAAATAAGTCATTACCATTTGATTTTTAACTAATAATTGTATTCACTTTTTCCCCAAGAATCACATTTGTTAGTAATGCAATGCACATACTGGATGTTGCTTTGGACAAAATGACAAATGAATGTAAAGTTTACATTTTGCAAAAAAAATGCTGTGCTCTTCCCACTAGGATGACATTAATTCGGCAACAATTTCTGTCTCTCAGTAATGTTGAACTAAAATGTATGTGTTAATATAAAAATTGCACCCACAAAACTCACGCCAAAACTTATCACAGTCACACTACTTTGTGTTAACAGTTCCACAATGGGAGTCGAATAGTATCTGAAGTGTTCCTGTTTCTGCATATTGGGTGCACTGTCGTGGGCAATGAACTGGGAGATCCAAAATTCTGTTAAACAGAGATAATGAAACCCTCATCCACATACTTCCATTCATGACTTTTATCTGATTTGAACAGAGAAGATATTGTTAGTGCAAATGCAATATTTGAGAAGTGATTTGTTATTGCACTTTAGGTAATCTCATAACGCTACACTGAGTGTCTTTGGTTACTAACACCACAGGAAGCATGCGGGTCTATCTGAACCCCAGTGAGCATATTGCTTCACTTGAGTAAAGCAGCAGCCACCGTTCTCTATCGTGTCACCTCACGAGTGTGTATTGACTTCAGTTCATCTAGGTTAACCAAAAACAGTAAACAATAAAAGTAGGCCTAAAGGTGGCTTCTTTCCTCTATGATCTCCCTTAGAATGATAAAGAGAAGGGATTCAACCTGAAGGGTATTAAGTACATTGAAACAGTTTGGCAAAATTTACGTCAAATGTATCAGAAAGAATTATCCATCTAAATGAAGAATACAGATGGCATCCTATGAACAGGTGTCATTTTATACTGTCCTTATAGAGGAATTCAGCTTCTGAGGAGGAGGAGGAATCTGAATGCTTTGTAACATATTGTACATGACAATTTCTGCACAGACACAGTTAAATTAATACAATTCTTGGTGACACACAGTTAGTAAAAAGTTTTTTTTAAATTAAAGATGTACCACAGGATGCATATCCTGGACTGAGGGAACTGAGTCACTGTCGCGTATTTACGCAGGACTGTGACATGCATACAAGCCCAACAATCCTTCTCCTCCTTAGAGCAACAGATGTTATGTTTACACCTGTATAATGTGCTATATTATATTCCATTTCCAGAGCTGACTGAGCGATGGGTGTGGACATATTAAAACATTAGATAACAAATACTGCTCATGAAACAGAGCGTTTGTGATGCTCAAACGGTATGATGATGCTAAGGAGGAATAATGAAAAAGTACTGTACAGAAGGAATTATTTGTCCAGCAAGATAACTCCTTATGAAAGAATGTACTAGAGACTAGCTCTTGTTGCTGGCCAAACAAGAGAGGTTCTTTCGAATTATGGCCGTTATTATGATTTATGATTTTATTGAAGCACGTCTTTTTAATAATCTTATTCTCAGAGAAGTGCAGATTTTTTCAGGTTGCTGTGCTTGACTGCAATACAACCACAGCAACGCACAAACAAATTAAATTTGAGGTGCACACAGTTATTACTAATACTACAGTGATAAACACCAAACACTACAACTAACACAACCCATGCTCTAAGCCATAGTGAATGAATAAATGAGAATCAGATTTCAAATCTACAACTTTGTTTCCAAAAAGGTTGGGACACTATGTAAATTGTACATAAAAACCAAATGAAATGTTTTATAAACCCCTTTAGCCCATTTTCGTTTGATAACACTCAAAATATAAGATATCTAATGCTCAAATTAATATATTTTATATATTTTGGTTTATATAAATGCATTCTGAATTTGAAGTTAGTGACCCAAAAAAATACATGAGAGAGGGGCAATAAAAAGAGTGGAAAAATGTGTAATGTGATAACTGTACTGTCCTGATGTGGGCAGATGACCTTGAAAAAAACTGCCTACACCTTGAACTTTGCTCACACTAGCACCCTATGATCTGCTCAGAGTCAAACAGTCTTCATCTGTTGTAGTTCAACCATACAGTGCCCCCAGGTCATACTTCACAGACTGTGCTGCAAAAGAGTTCTAGCTGAACAGTCAAGAATCCAGGAATCCACACCAAATGCTAACCTGGCTTGACACGTCGTGTTAACCAGTCTTCCCTTGCTCATCTCCAAATGGTGCAAAATATGGCTGCTCCTCTTTTGACAAGTACTAGGAAATTCAAGCACATAACCCGTGGTACTGGCTTCTCTCCACTGGCTTCCGAATTGATTTTAAGTTATTGATTTTTGTTTTTAAGGCTCTTAATGGTTTGGCACCATTTTACCTCACTGAATTAGTGCATTGGCACAAACTTACAAGGTCCCTCAGATCTTCAGGCCAGTTTCTTTTAGAGGTTCCTAGGGTCAGATATAAACACTGGGGTGACCGCGCTTTTGCTACTGACCTCATTATTTTTAAATCATTGCTTAAAACATATTTATTTGCCTTGGATTTTAGTAGGGCCTGGTGGATTCCTTTTAATTTCCTTTAAATTTTTAATTGAACATATGTTATGTGTGTCTGTGTTATTGTGCTGTTTTATTTTTATTTGCACTGATCTTATTTACTTTATTTTAGTCATTTATTATGATTTTATTTTCCCATGTAAAGTACTTTGGTCAGCTGGATGTTGTTTTAAAGTGCTATATAAATAAATTTGATTTGATTTAAATTTGACATCATCGCAGAGGATTGGTGCTGATGCAAGTAACACATCACAGTGTCAGGAGCCGCAATCTGCAGCATCGCCCAACGCATGAGGTCCACCATCCAAAGAATCTGTGAGTCCCGCCCAGACTCAATGTACTGCACCATACGCCACTAGGCGAGGTAAAACGGTAAAGCCTCCTGATAGACTGACCTTTTAATTTATCATGCTCTCAAGTTGTAACTTTTTAAAGTGCATTCCTACAACAAAATACACACTACATATTTTATATATGATTTGACTTATACAAGAGTTTACAAAAACACATTTCTGTGTACAACCTACTGTATTCATGTATGCACAACCACAGACTAATATGCATATTATTGAAAGCTGTCTTACCCAATACAGTTACCACCGGAGTACATTGAGTCTCAAATATCACTTGCTGACCAAGCACACAGCTGATGCAGAGAGCCCTCCTCCCCTCAATACTGGGCTATAACGACTCAGTCATTAAGGGACATTGTTGGCCTTCAAAGGACTGAAACACCACCGAGGGGGATAAATATCTCCAACTCAACACCAGTCAGTCAGAACTGATGAAGCCTCTTGGATGAGAAGTTTTTTCAGTTTACTATGACCTGGATGACTGAGAATCTGCACAAGCATGCTGGATAGTTTGCAACAGAGATTGCTGGATAACTCTACAATGTTAGGTATTTTTAGTCAGGTAGATATTGATTTGATACTTGATGTATTAGAAATGTTTAGAGTAGACAGGGTGTCTAGCTTAGGCATTTTCATGAGTGCTGCAGGTTGCTTATGGTCAAGGATAACTAGATAGAAAGTTGATGACTGTTAGAAGACAGGATGTTTAATATTATTATTATGACATGTATAACTGTAGCCATAGCCATAATATTTTCTTATGTTTAATGTCATGACATGTCACTAGAGGTCGTGTTAGAATGTTTTTAGCTGCACACCACATAATCAACAGACATTCACACATTGATTTTCCTCATGCTTTGACTACTGCTCTGGCCAGCTGCAAAGCTGGCCCTGGGAGACGTCACGGTTTGGCGTCTCTCTCTGAGTAGAATGGGTTTAGCCCGAAGTGATATAATGTATAGGCCTGTTGTGGGTCTTTCATCTTTCAGCTGCCTGCGTGCATGTTGGAGGTGCAAGATACCTGAGCGTGTAATGTTAATTTTTACCTGTGTTCACTGAATAAATCAGCACTGTTTTGAAGTTACTTGGACTGCTTCGTCTCTCAGAGTTAGCATGGTAAGAAGTACCGGAGACAACAACAAGCAACAGACTTTCAACAGTGAAGTGGGTGGCTACAGCTTGCAGGTCGATTAACACTGTGGGCGACAAGGGTCTGCTTGAAATAATTTGCATCACATCCAAAGACTGCACAAAGGAATTCACCACTGTAACCAAGATACACAACTTGTATGAAGACGACAAGGCTAAGGTGGAGGATGCTTTGGGACACTCTCTGCCTTACACACACACACACACTTTTAAATTCAATCTTCTCAGTTGCATTTGAGCACATAAGTGCAAATGAGTCTTAAGACAGTGAAGTAATTGTAAGGAGCCCAAAATTTTATATAAATACAGAAGATTATGGGCGGCCCATAGTTGAGTGGTTATGGTGTGACACACCATATACAGTATTTGGCAGCACACTGCGTGTGCAACATCAGTGTGTTGAGTTCTACCGCAGACATTTGTTGCAGGTCTCACCTGCTCTCTCTCTCTCTCTCTGTCTCCCTTGTTTCCCATCTCTCAGTGACTTACTGTAAATAAAGGCTAAAAAGCCCCAAAATATAGCTAAAAAAGAAATACAGAGGATAATAGTGTTTCTCCAGCTGGAACAGTTTTTCAAACAAGTCTGTTGGATTTTAAATGAACAAAATATATTGGTCCCGTGACCCCGTTCAGGGACTAAGCGGTAGAAAATGAATGAACGAATGAAATATATTGGTGTGACGACTGTACTACATAACATGTTACTGTGTGCAGTGGGCTAACAGACACACCACTCACACAGCAGCAGAATAATGTGAAGTGTTTTTCCAAGACTACGTAACAAGTAAAACTTAATGCCCAACTCTTCACCTCATTCTGAAGTCCTCACATCATGCATTGAACTAAAAGTTAACTTGTAGTATGGTGATAGTAATGAAGACGACTCAAATGCCACAGTTTCACCTCTACAGATGTTATTTTACAACCTCAAATCTGAAAATAAGTTGGGATGGTTTGTAAAATTTAAATTAACCCTTGTGTGGTCTGGGGTCTGTGAGACCCATTTTCACTTTTTATCAAAAGAAAAAAATACGAGTAATTCTTTTTTTCAAGCTCAGACTCAGTGGCCTTTGCTCATTCTCTGTGAGGAACATATATCAGAACACATTTTCAATGACCACACCCCCCCCTACACATTTACATTACATACAGGGCGTTTGGGTCCACTGGACCCGGGGATAATAAAGGTGTGGTGGCAATCATTTGCTCTTTAAGCAAATTTATAATTATTTAAGAATGTAATTATGTAAGAATGTTAACACTTATAATTTTTTTGTATAATACTTGTGTGGTGTAGAAGAGAATTATTTACTGCTTGCAAACCAATGATGGTAAGATGATGTCATGGGGTAGGACTGGATAAGTCTGACTTCTTCCTACTCCATTCAAGCATGTACCAAGTATAAGCAAATTGATATTGGATTAGCATTTGTTGGATATGTGTAAAATTATGTGTGTTGATATATCAACTGTCTTTACATGCTTGAAATAATAAATCAAATCAAATCAAATCAAATCTCTTACATTCCACATCTTAGCATTTGTATTGTGGTTACAGCAGTGTTGAATAGTTCAACAGTTTACATCTGAATGCTCTGACATGCCGACCCCTGCACACTGGGGGCAGAAAATTCAGTCTGACAGTGACTTAGAAGAATAGGATGATATTGAGCATAAGCCCTTCTGCCCCTCATTTGTTTGGGATGAAATGCACATTTGTTGAGTAGTTTTGCATAAAAGTGTTTGATTTTGTATGTACAAGGGATATTTACAGTTGCAATACCTGTAAATATCCCTTGTACATATAGATCTGCCAATGCATAAGCCAGTTCCAAAACAAAGGTTCTGAGAACTCCAGCCTCGGCAGTCATCTTGAGGAGGATTCAGGAGGAAAATGCTGGTGCCCTATCCAGAGGTGTGAATAAGGATAAAGATAATCATCTTTATTTGGCCAAGTATGTTACAAAAGATGATGTGGGTCCAGGAGACCCACAAACACCACCAGTGTAACCAAAAAAGTGAACAACACCCGAGGGTCAAAACTGAAAATAGTGATATTATCTGTTAGCGAAGTCATCTGTGCCCTGTATTACATCAATACAGCAGCACAGACAAATCAGTATTTGAGGTCGTTTTTGGAAGGAATGGATGCCGTGTGTTCTGGACCAAACACAAAAAGGACCATCCAGGCTGTTATCAGCAACAAGTCCAAAAGCCAGGGTCTGTCATGGTGTCAGCGCCCTTGGCAAAGGTCACTTCCACTTCTGTGATGGCTCCATTAATGCTGAAAAATACTTAGAGATGTTAGAGCAACATCTGCTGCCTTCTAGATGACATCTTTTCCAGGGACGTCCATGCATATTTCAACAAGACAATGCAAAACCTCACACTGCCACATTACCAAGGTCTGGCTGTGGATGAAAAGGGTATGAGTGCTGGACTGGCCTGTCTGCAGTCCCCACCTGTCTCCAATAGAGAATGTGTGGAGCATTTTGAAACACAAACAACACCTTGGACACCTTAAGACTTGTTTGCAGGAAGAATGGGACAAAATGACACCTGACACATTGAATCACTTGGTGTCCTCAGCCCCTAAACATCTTTTAGGTGGTGTGAAAAGGAACAGCAGCATCACAATGTGGTAAACACTTTATTGTCCAGACTTTTTTTGGAATGTGTTGCAGCATCAGGATTGAAGTGAAGGTTTTATTATTTTGAACAAAGAATAAAATTGATGAGGTGTTGCATCAGATAATGTGCTGCTGTGTTGGTTTCAATGTAACACTGGACACAGATGATTTACACATCACTGTTTTCAGTTTAAATTTTCATTTTACATACTGTCCCAGCTTTTTCTGACTTGGGCTTGTAAGAATGTGCATAGCCTTGGCACCAGGTGTCTGGTTTAAGTTAAGATGGATAAGAAATGGCTTCCAAATGTCAATAAAAGCTAATATATTGTTCTTGTGTGTAAATGTTATCTTCTTCAGTGTGATATATTCTGTGAGAAGGTTGATCCAGTGATTGATATGTAATGACTGTTTTTTTAGATTTCCAGTTTTCTTGGTATAGTTAGAGAAATAAGGAGTGGATTTCTATTTTTAATTGGAAGATGATTGACTTCTATAATATTATCAAAAAAAAGCAAAGTGATGGATATTGAGGGATTCTACATCTTACAATAGTGCAGAGTTTCTCTGTCACCGCTACCCAGAAGGAATGAACTGGTTGGTTGGTCTGAATGGCATGGAAGTTTCTATCATCTAAACCCATTTTAAAGATTTTGCCTGGTGTGATACGAGTCCTGTGAATGATCTTGTACTACTACTACTACTTTATTGTCAGAGAGAAGATTTAGTTACAGATTTTCATACAAAAGTTGGAGTTGGGGGGAAGCCAAATCACTTTCCCATTTAGTCAATGATAATGTTATTGTTGTATTTGTATTTGATATGAGTAACTTTTCATCTATTTCTACACAACAGATCTCTGACCACATCTATCTAACTAAGAAATAACCTAACAATGGTACTGACAAAGGATTTGTTCTAGGTTGGAGAACAGAGACCCACTCCTACAGTGTACAACTATCTTTGAAGCAGTTTGTCCAAATACATGTTTAAATGGAAATAGAGCATCAGCATCGTAGGTTATTCACCTTGTTCTGCTGTTGGTATCTAGACAGGTTTTATATACTTGATTTAAGTGAGTAGGTGTACAGTATAGTAGCAATAATGTCATGTTTCACATTTCAGTCCAAGGACTTTGCTACCTTAGAACAGATCCAGGCTTACTGTTTCCATCTGTCTCTAGTTTGTGCTATGCTAAGCTA